TCAGTTTCTTCACCCACATTACAAATACATAGTAGCTATAATAATGCGCTCCTTCCACTGCTCTGGCAATTCTTCCTTATTCCAATTAGAATTAATAAATCTCAGAGTGTAATGTTTCACCCCTGCATGAATAAGTTCTCCCCGAATTTGATCACAACCTGCCGCGTTGTAATTTACCTACTTTGCAATAGCAATTTGTACTTGAGAGGACTAGACTCAGGTACTAATGGCTCTGCTGTAACATATTAACCTTATGTACATTCAGTAGCTGAGTGAAGTAGTTCTTCCACTTATTGAAAATGTTGTGGGAATGTGCAAGCAGATCACCATTCTCATCCCATCCCTTACCAAATTAGTTACAGGTTGGTAACCCTTCTTGAATTCATGTAGCTCTACTTAAATTTATACTTTTCTTGTTCTTACTCTCTCTTGCATGCTCATGAAATGTTTCCTTTAGATAGTCCCTCCTTTGTCCCTGCAACGTCTACTAGGTTCGCGTCATACAGAGTTCAGATTACCTCCATTTATTTTGCTCGGATACTTAAAACCATTGCAGTTTAACTTGTTTCCTTTGATCTGACAATTCTGAACATTCTTTGTCAAATCATGGCTTATGCTGCTTCAGTTCATACCAACCAAGACTCTGTTTGGCTGAAAATCTGATATTGTCTCTAACAGTGTTTCAAGCTCTATTGAGATCCAAATCATAATCTAAATTCTCCAAAGTTGCGAACCTGCTTGAGGTTTTAGCCTGATACACTTCTTTGTTATCTACAGCGTTTAGTTTCTCTAGATTAAATCTCTCCATATCAAACTCTGGCGTTGCTCGTTTACTAGCTGATAGTCTCTCCATAACTTATGCAACAACCGGATAATAATCTGTACCACAATCAGTCACTCTGAAAGGCATGTTATCACGTATACTTGAATGCCGCCTCCTGTCTGTCAAAATGTGCTCGATCTGCTTGTGTCTTTCCATTAGATTCAAAATTACTAGGTTTTTGGACTTTTCCCATCGTTCAGTATTCTAGAAAATAGAAAACACGACGTTTCGGAAACTGGATCTCTTTCCATCCTCAAGTGAGGGGGAGGAGATACCTACTCAGTTACGTCCACTAGAAGGAGTTAACCTCAGTCACTGCACAACCACTTTCAGATTCACACAGCTATTTAATAACCTGGGACCAGGCTAATTCGGCGGGAGATAACAAGAAAATATTAAATAAAATTGTGATAGAGCATTCGCATGCGTGGAACTATGATCGAAAAGGAGGTTTAACAGAATTTTAATATATAAACAATGTCGATGTCAACAAGATCCTTCCGGTGGTTCTCGCGTTCTTACATTCGAACAGATGGACGCAGAAAGAGACAACAGAACTTTCACACTTTTCCATTGAGCACTGGCCAAAAAAGTTTTACATAACAGATAATGGGCGGAGATGAAAGGCAAATATTCCTGCAAACGTGTATATTTATAAAATAAATTTTTCTAAATATACTAAAAATTGGATATCGAGGATGAGATGGACAGGGCATGTAGCACGAATGGGGAAGACAAGCAATACATGCAGGATATTGGTGGGAAACCCAGAAGGAAAGAGACCACTAGGAAGAAAAGACGTAGGTGGGCGGATAATATTAAAATTGATCTTAGACAGATAGGATGGGGTGGTATAGATTGGATCGATCTGGCTCAGGATAGAGACTAGTGGAGGGCTCTTGTGAACACGGTAATGAGCCTTTGGGTTCCACAAAATGCTGGGAAGTTCTTCGGTAGCTGCATAACTGGCGGTTTCTCAAGAAGGTCAGCTCCATGAAGTTGTTGTTGTTGTTGTTGTTGTTGTTGTAAATGAACTTTACGAAAAGGCGCCTTTTTAATGAATCATAATAGGTCATAATCACATTCACCCAATTAGTCAATCGCTCTGTACCGAATTTCATACAGTTTTTCGGATGCTGAAATATAAGAGCCCTTGCGACGAGCTGATCACCCGCCCAAGGAGTCCTACCGAATGTGTAAGATCTAGAAAAACCGAAGTGAACGGAGAAGTTCATGGAGGTAGGCCTAGGCCCACTGGGGCTGTACTGCCAAGGGGAAAAGAAAATATAAGAGCAGAAGGATGGAAGAAGGTAAAAGAGACAAATTGCGTATCCACCGTATGCAATTTTTGCAAATAACACAAAAGTTCTCTCAGTTACACAGCATAGAGACATATCATGACTGGCTGATCGACTTTTCCCACAGATAGACGCAAGTATGGAAAACATATACAATTACGAAATGGTTTAATAACGCAGAACCTGTAACGACACAGTGTAACGTTTTGAGCACGCCACATTTTATAATGACGTCAATGCTCGGCCGACCTCGTCCAAAGCATGGCTCTGAACACGACAAAGGAAAGTTACAAATTTAGAATAGAAATGTAATTTAAAATTAGTACCGTCTCTCATGTAAAAACATTTTCATTAAACTGTCTGTAACAATTTCTGAAGAATTATCACAAAAACAAAAGTTAAGGTTCATTAACATAGTATACTCCTATATATGAATTACGTTGTCTCGTCATTGAGCAAATAAACAACATAATACTGTGACTGAATAGACCGCTACTAGACAACGGCTTGTTAAAACGCGTTTCAGGGACAACCAGCTGGAACAGTCCATTGCTGAGCAACATTTGTTGAAAAACATTTTCGATGTAATGCAGGCAACAATAGAAGAACTATGTAAGATTTGAGGCTTTCACGGCGGTGACTATGAAGAAAGCAGTCTTCTGGGATTTGGCACCGTGTATATGTGGTGTTAACCGACGTTTCGGAGGAACGTATCGCCCCCATCTTCAGGGTTGAAGAAGTATAGGTAAATCTGCAAGCGACAACACCGTGAGACAGTCTGCTTGACCGTGTCTCACGGTGTTGTCGCTTGCAGATTTACCTATACTTCTTCAACCCTGAAGATGGGGGCGATACGTTCCTCCGAAACGTCGGTTAACACCACATATACACGGTGCCAAATCCCAGAAGACTGCTTTCCTCAATAGAAGAACTGCCGTTTCTATAATAATAGAGGAATCGCTAGGATAAGGTGTTCTTAATGTGTTTTAGATGCATGGTTCGTGACAAAGGCTTACAGGAGACAAAAACGGTCGTTGGCAGGCAGTCGTAGAGCGAGAGTCTCGGCTCTCCAGATTGATTGTGAGCCGTAAAGAAGTGGCAGTAAATCCAATCATCAAATCTAGAACCCTTTATTACTAGTCATGACAACCTTTAATAAGTTACAATACAATTGGCAGCGAAGTTTTACAGTATGTTAAGTAGACCTTTCCACGAAAAAATAAATTATTAATGAAACAAGTTACTATTTTGTCAGCCATTTGTAGTAACACGAAATAATGAATTTTTAGTATTAAATATTTATGCCAACGAAAGTCAGAAATAAGGAAGTACGTGTATAACAACATATCTTGACAATTCCTCTACCTAAAAATGTTTGCTGCATACAAACATACACAGCATGAATGGCGCTGAAGTGAAATGGATACAGAATTTTGAAGCGGTAACGTCACGGGAAGACAGAGACAGAAGTGGAAGAAAAGCTTAGGTTCGTGCGAATAGGTTTCGGGGTTGGGAAGTGGGAGAAACCGGCCGAATCGTGTCTATTTGCAGTTCTGAACCTTCGGGTTCTGTTAAACAAAAAAGTAAATCTGACCCTGTAACAGGCCGTGGAGACCCATAAGGTTGTGAGATGTTGAGGTTCCCATATTTTCTAGACAATCAGCTCACAGATGGCGGTAAGGTTGTCATCCTTTCAAGCCGGCCGCCTTTTACCCCCCGGAATATTCCTGGTACTCATTTCTGTTAGAGGCTGAGTCGACCCGAGAGCCATAGTGCGGCTGGAAGGATCAGGTCAATTGATAAATCTACTGACCTCATTGGAAATCGAACCCGCTTACTCTCTAGTTAGTTCGTTAGTCATATAAGCGTAAGGAGTGGCTTTAGTAATAGATCATCATCATTAAATTCTCAATACTGACCTATCTGAATGAAATGATTTCTGTACCGAAATTATATTACTATTGTCACGTGTAGGGGTGATTTCTAAAACACGTTTTGGGTTGGATGATTGGAGTTACTGCGCCTTATAAATTCACATCTTTTGGGACTACAGGCAATACAGCACTACTGCTATTTTACATTTTCCAATTCACCATTTCACACGCACTACAATTCTCAGTCTTCACTAGCCGTATCCTTGAAACGGATTTTTTACAGTCTCACTGTAACATCAACTCGCACATGAAGTCTTCTTGGCACAGTCTAGTTCCTATCTTGCCATTTCTTCTCAATCACCTTCGACTGCGATCTCCAGAACTTAACTCAGTCCTCTGCCGACTACCGTTCTGTACTCCGTCTCGTCTTCTGACTGTGTCCTCTTATAACCCCTCGGCACAGACACCACGGAAAACACCGTCTTCTATTGTTAAAGATTCGTATTTACTGGTCCGTTACCTAGCAATGGATGTCCTATTGTCTCGTGCGCGTGTGTTGCGGGAATCTCTTACCGATCCGTTGCCTAGTAATGGGTATATATGTAAAAATATTAATCGTATTATTCACTGTTCACATTCAACTATCACTACGCTCCGGGATGGACATTATCTTCGTACAGAACTACAGTACAGAAGGAGAAATGTGCAGTTCGGCACATTTCTCGCGCATGAGTACATTATGACACTCGTGCCAAATGGTGAAGAAAGTCACGTCGATGCATGAAGCACGTATTACAGTTGCAATATTATCAGGTGGTTGTGCCAGTGGTACCATCAGTAAATCGATAAATATAATTCGTCAGGACAAGCTGATGTACAAGACCTCCCCACAGACCCACCACCTACAGGCTCCTTCTTAGGTACCTCTACTGTGATAACAGATGTGAATGGAGACGTCCCTGTTTGCGAAACTACTTAAACGAACTACTGTTTCATGTAACTTACGTTCTGCGAAGGGTGAGAACCAGATCTGCTAGACTTTACCGCTTTATCAATCTTCACTTTCTTCAACAGCCCGAAACTTCTGGGTGAACTAGTACAGCCTGTAATGAAAAGAAAAGAAATCAATTCCTTCAGTGCTGGTTCCTGTAATTCCACTCTATTCTTGCGGTGGGGTGAGAATGCGTCTTTCCGTAACATCGTCATAAATGGGCTCACTGTACCAGTTTCCACGATGATTTTCTATCAACTTTGATGAAACTTCAGATATTAGTTGCTGAAGGTTGATAATGGAGTCTGGGAAAATACTACTTATGGAAAGAGGCCGAAAAGTAACATATAGAGAAAGCGGCCTCCGTAGTCTAGAGGTAACGTTCCCACCTCATGACTCGTGGTATGCGGGTTCAAATACCCGGCGGAGGTCGTCGAATTTTTAAGGGCGGAAAAATTCAGGGGACAAGTACTCCGGGAGGGACTTTAAGCTGTGTGTCCCGTGTCGTAACTTTACGGTTACGAGGTTCTTTTACGTGTCGTAACTTTACGGCACGTAAAAGAACCTCATATCCCCAAAGGGGATCACTGAGCCAAATTCCAGGACGTTTCCCGCTCAACAATAGCCTCTAAGTCCTCTGATAGATGGGGGAAGCATTATAGACACCGCTAAGCAAGTGGCCGAACTCGCTTGCTCGGCGGGACTGATGGTACGCACCATTTATCGGTAGGGTAAAGAGACTGGTAGAATATCATAGAGGGAAGCACAATAGATCGAACTGGTCGCGGTGCATGGGGAAACCCACCCTCTCTAACTAACTAACTAACTAACTAACATATATAGAACGGGTGGAGACAGGTGGCCAGGATTGAGCGGCATTATAACCCTACACGACAAGAGGCAAGAGAAACACGAAGCAGTCATCAAAAGAGAACTTTAAGACCTGTACAGGCAGCCCTTTCAAATACGTACAGACAGGAAGAAGACAAGCCGTACAGCTATAAATACAAAGCTACATGGAATGAGGAGTTATATTCCCTGTTATATAAGTTAATTTCACAGACATTTGTGTCGAAAAAATGATTAAAATAAAAGTAATGAACCATATTGCGATCTTATATTTTACGTTGCGTAGAAGTTTATTTTGTATGAAGAGGGAAATTACAAACTCCGATTTCTGCAGAGAAGAATTAAATTCGATTTATCAAAATTCGTCAAGTAATATCGAAAATTAAACTTCCTGATAATCTTACATTCATGCAGACATAACACAAATTAAAAAAAAAAATCTATGGTGGTGTTTTCCTGGTAATGTTTACGTGTTCTTTGTACAAAGTACATACAATAAAAGCATTAGATAGAGACTGATTTTAAGTATCTCAGTCTGCCCGTCTGGACGATTCATCGCTAAATTTACGAAACGGATTTCAATTAAGTCGGAGGGGGGATGCTGCTGTTGTTGTTGTTGTTGTTGTTGGTGGTGGTGGTGGCGGCGGCAGTAGTAGTAGTAGTAGTAGTAGTAGTAGTAGTAGTAGTAGTAGTAGTAGTAAAAAGTAAAGCTATCCGGGTGACAGACCGTGCAGGTCCATAGGGTTCTGAGACGTCGAGGCTCCCACATTTTCTAGACAGTCGGCTCACAGATGGTGGTGAGGTTTCAAGCCTTAATTCATGTCCGCCCTTTACCCCCAGGAAGATTCCTAGTACTCATTTCTGTCAGAGGCTGAGTCGATCACAGGGCCATAGTGCTGCCGGAAGGATTAGAATCGAACCCGCGACCTTCCGGCTTGTAGCATAGTACCTCAACTAACTACCGCGTGTAGCGGCCTCCGTAGTCTAGGGGTAACGTTCCCACCTCATGACTCAAGGTACGCGGGTTCAAACCAAGCGGAGGTCGTGGAATTTTTAAGGGCGGAAAAATTCAGGGCACGTAAAAGATCCTCATGTCTCTAGGAGACCTCTGAGCAAAATTAGGCAAAAAGTTTCCCGCCCAAGTAGTTTTCAATGCCTCCGGTAGATGGGGAAGTATCGGGTACCGCTGGCAGCCTCGCTGGCTGAACGGGGCTGATAGCGAGCACCAGCACCGACAGGGTATGGCGACTGGTAGAATATCAAAGGGGGACGTACAATGACTATTAGTCGCGGTGCATGGGGAAACCCACCCCCTCCAATAATAATAATCATAATAATAATAATAATAATAATAATAATAATAATAATAACTACCGCGTGTTCCTCGACACGCATTAAAAGCCGTGTAAATATGTGACTCAAAACTGATTCCCGAATAGCTTTACCCCTTTTAGACCAGTTAAAGAAAATTTCCGAAACATTTCCTTGACGCAGACTAGGCCTACCCTACAAGAATCACCAGAGACAATAAGTTATTTTCTTAAAAGGGTTCTCCATTATCTACTCCGTAACCCACAGTTCATAAGTCACATGAACACAATCAAAATATTCAGAATTTCCCAGCACTGGATATATTTGTGCTCATCGTCGAATAATTTAGATTGTTGCTAATATTTTAATATGGCCCAGGTCTCTAGGAAAAATTTCCGTGGATAGAACTGTACCGTGGGCATATGGTTGGAGAAACTCTGCCATACCATACTTCCTTAAACATTTACCTATTTTTGAAGTAGTGTATTTGAAGTGTTTCCGAAATACAAGGGAGAAATAACGCATCCTTTGGCGTCATAGATTAGATCTGTCAACAGGGAACTTGTAAGTCGCTTCACGTTACTCATTACTAGTCTCATTCCCATTGTAGGATCGAGGCACAACATGGTGAACACAAAATATAATATTTCTATGCCATCTTCAGGTTGTAAAGCAAGCGCTATCTGTTCCTGACTATTTGAGTATGAAACGGTCAACGAAACACAGGATTATAACTTGTCGTCTACAGGTCGTTAGCTTTTGACAACAAATATCTGTAGTCCTACTAAATTAGTATTTTTACGTGGACGCCCAAAGCGTTTTTAGGCAGGGGCTCGATAAACACGTTCCCGTGAATACGCAACATTGGAAACTGTGTTCGTTGTGGGCTATGCTACAACTAGTTGCTAGTTGAGGCAATACTGCTGACAACTGAGGAGAGTGTTTTCTATGTGGTCCGCGCCGCTATCGTTGCTATGCAACGGCTCGGTAAACAAACTTCAACAATGGACACTGTTTTCTTTGCGGTCCGTGTTGTGGCTATGTAACGAGAGCTGTGAGCCCTAAGTTCTTAAGAGGCAGTGCAGCGTAGGAGGCGACGAAAAGGGAAGTCCCAAATCTGAGACAGTAAAATATGGTCGCGAGTACCAAGGGACTCACACCCCAGAAAGACTGCATTGGCAAGGGCCAGCAGCATATACAAAAGGCAGACCCGTCCTCTCGTCAGAGAGGGCACCCCCACAAAAACAAGACCGTAAATGCCAAGCAGTAATAAATATCTGGTCATGAGCCCCAGTTGGGGCTCGACACCAAGACTTACTGACTGACTGACTGGCTGACTGACTGACTGACTGACTGACTGACCGTCAGTCGCAATGTGACTTGGACTTGGACTGAGTTCTTAAGTGACAGTGAAATAGTGGAAACTCCAGGAGAGTTCAGCAGTTGAGAGTACAAGGACGAGAATGGAGCGTCAACTGTTAAGATTATTTCAGTAAAGAACTGGAACCAGGAGTACAGAAGAATACAGGAGGTCTTCCTGTGAGGGTTTAAAGTGTGATTTCAAAATTTTATTTTTGTGCAATATCTGGAGTGATTTGAAGCGCTAGTTCCTGTGTTTTAATTACTTTATAGGAGCGGGAAGGTGTGTGTGTGTGTGTGTGTGTGTGTGTAACAGTGAATTAAAATGTGTAAATCAGCGATAGCGCTTATTTCGTGCATTGACTGTAACTAAGACAGACTTTAACTAGGTGCTAATAAATCCAATCATCAGACCTAGATCCAGTCATTCTCGTCACGAGTACCACCCTACACGTGACAATATTAACACCGATATCCTTCTTGTATGGCACGATTTATCAATGCGGTCCAACACCTCTTCGTTTTCTGGGTTTCGGAATCACCTTCGCAAACATCTTGTAGGAGACCTTGGATGGGGACAGGTACACAGGAAGGGCGCAGGCTCTTATGGGAGATATCTATATATACATATATAAGAAAGAAATGTATTTAAAGTAATTCGTTTCAAAACAAAGACACAAACAAATGGTCTCTCTGTACTTGAAAACATTAATACATTTCATTTTATCCCCCCCACTTCCAAAAAAAAAAGCATTCAACTACCGGCACTTACAATTCGTTCACCCGTTCTCATTTTGTTTTCATCGTTAACTACAAGCCAGCCATCTTGGCATGTTAGCTATGCATCTGACTTCTAATGTGAAAGCGCCTGGTTTGGCAATAGCACTGACTAATCTCACTAAGATATTTCTCGCATTATCTTCTTATACGTTAACATGTCGTCACCAGAATGGATGGAAAAATCATAGCATGAAGATAGCTAACAGGCGCTTTGAAAATGTGGCACAGTTCAAATATTTTTGGAAGGCAGTAACAAAGCAAACTCTGATTGAGGAGGAAATTAAGAGGAGACTGAACTCGGGTAATGTTTGCTACCGTTGCTACCTTTTGTCTTTTCGTCTGCTGTCTAAAAACGTAAGAATTGCAATACAAAAATCTATAATTTTTCCTGTAGTTCTGTATGGGTGTGAACCTTGGTATCTGACATTAAGAAAGGAACATAGACTGAGGGTGTTTGAAAACAGGGTGGTGAGAATATTGGGACCCGACGAAGAATGAAGTGACCGAAGGTTGGAGAAAACTGCATAACGAGCAGCTTCATACGTTTCACTCTTGGCCAAGTATAATTAGAACGATCAAGTCAAGGAGGATGAGATGGGCAGGGAATGCAGTAGGCATTGGGGAGAAAAGAAATGCATATAACATTTTAGTGGGAAAGACAGAAGGAAAGAGATCACTATGAAGACCCAGACGTTGGTGGGTGAATAATATTAACATAGCTCTTAGAAAGATAGGCGAGGGTGTTATGGTTCTGGCTCAGAACAGAGACAAGTGGAGGGCTCTTGTGAACACGGTTATAAACCTTCGTTTTCG